CACCACCACCACCCACTCGCTACCACCCGCCACCGTCACCTCACCACCCACCACCACCAGCCACCCACCACCCACCGTCACCACTTTTCACCACCGTCTTCCGCCGCCACTTACCATTTCTCACTATTTTTTATATTTTTAAAATTGTTTAAATATTTTGTTAATTACTAAACGCGTTTGTAGTTTATGTTTTTCTAAAAATAAAAAAAAAAAAATTAATTTGTAAAATTTTTGTAAATATAAACTGAAAACGTAAAGGTTATCAAACACACTTTTAATAATTTTTCAAGACTCGTTAAAAAAAAAAAAATTAAATTAAATGACATGTTTGATCAAACGGCTGTGATTTGCGAAAAGCCGTTGGTAGAAGTTGACTTGGGAATGAGACCCCGTGATGAAGAGAAATCGTGAACCATAATACAAAGGGTAGTTCCGTCAATCAGTGATACGCCTCTGTGTCTCGTTTTTTTAGACCGTTTGTCTCGCGTGACTCCACGTGAATGTCACGCGCACTCTTATTTGAACGCACAGGTCGTCCCTCTATTCATGGACGGTGTGAGGTGAGGTGACTTTATATATTCTTGTATCTATACCTGTATCTATATTTATAGAGAGAGAGAGAGTGAGAGAGTAAGAGAGAGAGAAAATTATATATTCTTGTATCTATACCTGTATCTATATTTATAGAGAGAGAGAGAGAGAGTGTCTGTGTGTGTGTGTGTGTGTAAGAGAGAGAGAAGAACAAAACAAGGCAAGCCCCCATGCTCTGGGTCGCAGGATTGAGTTGTGGTCAAAAAAAGAAAAACAATATCATGTCTATAAAATTCACAATTTTTTCGGACATATATTTATAAAAATAGGGTTTAAAATTAAAAATATTTTCAATTCAATTCCGAGAGAACACAGCTTTACCAGATGGATCTACACTGTGAGAAGAGGTAGGCTCCACGAACTCTCTCTGTCTCTCTCTATCTCCCAAATATAGCAGATTTTCAAGCTCTTAATGATAATTCTTATTCTAATTCTAATTCTGTTCTCTCTTTAATCTCATCTTTTGTTTATTATATCCAGAGACCATTAATTTCGTCTCCAATTGATTTTCTCTGTTTCGTCTCTGCTGATTCCGGTACCCCTCTCTCTTCCCTCTGTTTAACTTTATTTATTTATTTCTATTTTTATTGATTGTTTTCTATTTAATTGGCCGAGCTTGAATTGTTTGTGTGTAATTCGTGATTAATTTATGATTAGGGCTTTTATTCTCAGTTTTTGGATGTGTTTTTTGACTTTTCTATGGAGGATTTTCTGCAATTTGAAAGCTCGACATCAAACAAAGGAGTAAACCTTTTTGATTTGCCGAGATGAATCTTGTATTATAAGCAAAGTTCATATAATCCTAGCTTGTTATGGGATTCCTAGTTTTTACTTTTTTTGCTTCAATTTTTGGTAATTAAATGGATGTTTTGCAAAAAATTGGATCACAATTTCTTCATAATTATCATGTTATTATGCAGCAGTTTAAAACTTAATCCAATCCACTTGACTAGGGGGGAAACTGCTAATTTAATCCAACTTCTTGAAGGATTTTTTTTTAAATTTTTTTTTCTTTTACAAATTATCCAAATTAGTTGAATAAATTTGTTCTTAGGAAATTAATTTACCTGCTTAGGAATTGAAATTCATTAAGTTTATCATTCATATGTGAAAATTTGAATTTTTTTTTTTAAATTTATTTGGAAGGGAACGAACGAAGACATATGTATCCTGAGCATACATTTGAGTTTGTCGCTTGGATCAAGTTTTGGCTGTTTTGGTTTAATTTATTGACTTTGTGGAAAATTTTATAAGTCCAAAAAAAAAAAAAACATGAAATATTGGCATGCCCTGCATGTATTTGGCTTGGGGTGAATGTGTTCCTTCTGGTGTGCAATTGAGTTGTTGAAATTGTTGATTGAGATATCTTAAAACACTCTTACCTTGCGGACAAAATGAAACATGATAAGAAAAACTTATGTATCAAGTAAATCCTGATTTAGTATATGTTTTGAATAACTGGTGTTTTTCGTTTTTCTTTTCTTTTCTTTTTTTTTTTTTTTTTCTGGTTGAAGTTATGTTTTTCCATCCATATGTTTGTTTCACATGAGTGCCGGATTCTACAATAGATGATTGAGATTTAAGGTGTAGTAGAAATGAACACCAATACTACCTATTAGGTTACATTTAATATCATTATTTATGTTGAAGTTGTTAACCAAGAAGACAAGTCAAAATCCAAAAGGGATGTTATTGTTGGATTTGATGACTAAATGACATACACTTCGTTGATGTGATAATCTATTTGAAGAATTGTTTTAAATGATCGAGTATACAGTTTGTTACTTTGGTTAATTACACAATATAGTTAATGCTAAAGCTTTAATGAGCATTTTTAAAATCTATGTCCTTATAAGCTTCACAGAAAAGAAACAATGCAATCTGCTTCCCGCCTCGAATTACTTTGTCTGTATTACTTTGTCCTGTTGGTTTCCTTGACGATTGAGGTCTGAGATGAGTATTTCATTTTGGTGGTGTACATGAACTTGTAACAGATATAAATTTATATCTCTCAACAAACTAGCACGTGTATGCTTTTATAATTAAAGCAGATTTCGATCTTGGTATGTTGTTGAACATACATAATGGATGTTGCTTCAATCAATTTGGTGTATAAAAGGCATTTAGTGGGTCAAATGTCTGTATAGTTTGATATGATAATGGACTAAAATTTTGATATCGGTGATTGTGTACTCACAATTCCTTAAAGCATTGAAATGAAATTTCTTAATGTTAAAGAGTAACCAATTTGTGTAAATCTTGATATTAGATGTTGGCACACCTTGGCATTGTAAATGCTATTAATTAGACCAAATAATTAGCCTTGCTACTTTCCAGTTAAAAACTAAATCAGAAGTATTAGCATGTTGTACAAATTTATTCTGATAGTATTTTTAAGTGTGCCTCACCAATTTGTGCTATTCCATAGCTTGATTGCAAGTTGAAAAAAGAGCTAGGGTGTCTATTTCAGTACTGTACAAATATTTGGGCAGAGGAATTTGGAAGAGGGACAGGGAATCAAGAGTGTCACCCTTCCTTCTGGTTTTAAATTCTGAAGAAACCATTTGACTCGCCATTCAAATGGACATGGGTTTGTGTGTGCGTGTGTGTGTGAGAGAGAGAGAGAGAGATAGAGAGTTGACCAAGTGTAAAAGAATGGTTAATGTCATCTTTAAGTTCGGAAATAGCAGCTGGCAACTGTTGATTTGATTGTCTGACTCTACTGGTGCATTCTAGTATGCCCACCATCTCTTATGATGCTTTAATGGAAAAGGCTAGTGTGCGGTGTTGTTTCTGTTAATCCACAGTGCTATCAGGGGTGGCCTTACAGATTTAAGTTGATTTTTTCATGTAAACTAATGTCCTTGGATTCAAACTGCATCTTCATGCTTGACAGTAGAACTTTTACCATAGTATTGAGCAATGACTTCAAAATGGGATTAGATCGGGCACATTTGGGTTCAAACTTAGTGGTCAAATACACTAAAATATATTGATTATTGTGTAGGATTTGAAGATGAAAGTACAATTATGGTAGTACCAATAAAGGAAAGAGCCATCTCTATAGATGAGCGTTTATGATCAGTTTTAGGATGTTAGGAACATCATTGTTGCAATTCACTTCACTTGTACTGTTGGCTGCTAATCTCCTTTTATTCAATGGCCTCAATTTACAATTGGAAAATGTATGTTAGTCTGTATTAAAGGCACAACGGGGCTATTGGATAGGTTGTGCACATATTTTTAGTTTTTACTTGAATCCTGTTTTGATAGCTAAGATATTAGGAACATACTAGAACATAATACTCAAAGACAAATTATGAAATTTTATCAAAGCACATGATCTTTTGGATGCTTGATCTTGTGATGGAGCCTTTTAAATGATGGGGATCTTTAACTTTATTATTGTCATTGTTTCCTAACTCCCCTTTCTAATGATGAAATTTCACTCAAGCAAATGATAGGGTTTTTACATTAAAGGTGTGTTTGGATCATCAATATCTAATCTAATGACTATCTGTTGCTTTAGGGACAAAGAATATTCCTTTCAGCAGAGAACAAATATAAAAACCAAAAATCGGACAAACAAAAACTTGTTTTGATTTTATGATGTTGCCTTGAAGAAGTCCTGATTATAGTATTTATCAGAAATAAATGAACTCAGTGCTAAGTCAAAATTGAAGGCTTGATTATGGCTGTTTAAGTTGTTCTGCAGTTCAGTTCAGTTTCTTTGTTCTCAAACAACTAAAGATTACTATGCTTCTTTCTTACCTTTGTCTTCTGGAATGGACTGTGGTTAAGCCATAGTTTTTCCTTTTTATTATTTTATTGTTTTTCTATAACAGGTGCTTTCATTTCCTTTTTAACTTATTTAGTTTTGGTAACTTGTACTTTGATTTCAGATTCGTGCTTGGCTTTCATTAGCACTTTATTGGAATGGAGGATGTGAAAAATGCAAAGGAGAATTGTCCTCCAGAATTCTCTGTAGAATCATCATTATCTTCCCAGAACAATGATCATTCAAAGAATATAGCCCCAATTAACCAAGATACAAATGGAATAGTGGAACCTAAAGGTGAGGGACCAATGATGGATGGTTCAAAATCAACAATACAAGATGAAACAGGACACAACCAGCACAAGATTGTGATCGAAGAACCTGAAAGTATAGCTGTGCAACAAAGTTCAAATGGACCCAAAGGCGAGCAGGAGGCTTCAATTCTGTCAGACAAGGGTCCAAAGACATTGGAGCCACAAAAAGAGGAAAATTTAACCGGTCTCTCAGAATTCATTCCATCACCCTCACAAGCAAAACCAAATGACACTTTGCAGCAATCTCTCGAAGGTGGTTCTGTTCAAAGTGCCCATTTTCAATCAAACGACATTTCTGACGGACCTGCACTTGAGCAAGAAGCCTCCCTTCCATCAGACAAGAAACCAGACATATTGGAGCCTCAAAAAGAAGAAAATGTAATGAATGTATCAGAATCGATTCCAGCATATGCCTCAGAAGCAAAATCAAATGATGCTTTGCAGCAATCTCAAGAAGATGGCTCTGTTATCAGCTCCCATGTTCAAGTAGTGCTTTCAAATGAAGTTGCTGAGCCCCAACCTGAGGTTGACGAAACTGATATTACAACACCAGATCCCAACGACACTTCTGAAGATCTTAAAAAGGCTGACATAAACAGAGGTCTGATTGATACAGCAGCACCTTTTGAATCTGTTAAAGCAGCTGTTTCCAAGTTTGGGGGAATTGTTGATTGGAAGGCACATAGAGTCCAGACAGTGGAGGTATAATTTTTCTCGCTGAAGTTTGTTCTTTCAATTACTCGTATTGTTGTTCTAACCATATTCCTGTAGCCTTGTTTGTCTTGTTAACAAGGGAAATTATTTGCAATCAGAGAGCAAAGAAAAATATTTTATTAAGTTTTACCCATGGATTTATTTTGCTATAGTTTTACCTCTTTCAGTAACAAGTCAACTGAGGATTTTTCTCAAAATACGTAAAGAAATTGTAATATTCCTCTTCTTTTACTTGATACATATTTTATTCCTTATAATTAATGCAAATAAACTATAAATTTTTCTGCTGGCCTATGCAGAGGCGCAAGCTTATAGACCAAGAACTTGAGAAAGCACAGGAGGAGATTCCATTGTATAAGAAACAATCCCAAGCTGCTGAGGATGTGAAAGTTCAAATGTTAAAGGAGCTAGACAGCACTAAGAGACTCATTGAAGAATTGAAACTCAACCTCGAGAGAGCACAGACAGAAGAGCAACAAGCGAAACAAGACTCTGAACTTGCCAAGCTCAGGGTAGAAGAGATGGAGCAAGGGATTGCTGACGAGGCTAGTGTGGCAGCCAAGGCACAGCTTGAGGTCGCCCGAGCGAGGCACACAGCTGCTGTTTCTGAGCTTAAGACTGTGAAAGACGAATTAGAAGAACTTCATCAAGATTATGGTTTACTAGTTTCTGAGAAAGACCTAGCTGTTAAGAAAGCTGAGGAGGCTGTTTCTGCATCCAAAGAAGTTGAGAAAACAGTGGAGGAACTGACAATTGAGCTGATTGCCACCAAGGAATCGTTGGAGTCTGCACATGCTGCCCATCTGGAGGCAGAGGAACAAAGAATCGGAGCTGCTATGGCAAGAGACCAAGATACTCTCAATTGGGAGAAGGAACTTAAGCAGGCAGAAGAGGAGCTAGAGAGACTAAACCAGCAGATTTTGTCAGCAAAGGATCTCAAATCAAAACTAGATACTGCTTCAGCCTTGCTGGTGGACTTAAAAGCTGAATTAGGAGCTTATATGGAATCAAAATTGAAGCAGGAAAATGATGATGAAGGGCACCTGAAAACTGAGCTAGAGGGAGCAGAGAAGAGGACGCACGTTGACATACAAGCAGCAGTTGCTTTGGCCAAGAAGGAACTTGAAGAAGTGAAGCTCAACATTGAGAAAGCCACTGCCGAAGTAAATTGCTTGAAGATTGCAGCCACATCGTTAAAGTCGGAGCTGGAAGGAGAGCATTCAGCACTTGCTGCCATTATGCAGAGAGAAGGAATGGCATCGGTAGCAGTTGCATCACTTGAAGCAGAGCTGAGCAGGACTAAAGAAGAGATTGCTGTTGTTCAGATGAAAGAGAAAGAAGCAAGAGAGAAGATGGTGGACCTGCCGAAGCAATTACAGGAGGCAGCTCAAGAAGCAGATCAGGCCAAGTCACTCGCTCAAATGGCACGTGAAGAGTTGCGCAAGGCTATGGAAGAAGTAGAGCAAGCAAAGGCAGGAGCAAGTACCATGGAGAGTAGACTAAATGCGGCTAGAAAGGAGATAGAGGCTGCAAAGGCTTCAGAGAAACTTGCATTAGCAGCTATAAAAGCTCTGAAAGAGAGTGAATCGGCTCAAAGCACCAATGACGAGGATTCATCAGCCGGAGTAACACTTTCTCTAGAGGAGTACTATGAGTTTAGCAAGCAGGCACATGAGGCAGAGGAGCAAGCTAACATGAGGGTGGCTAGTGCCATATCCCAAATCGAGGTAGCCAAGGAATCTGAGTTGAGAAGCTTGAAGAAGTTGGAGGAAGCTAACAATGAAATGGCTGCACAAAAAGAAGCACTGGAAATTGCATTACGGAAGGCTGAGACAGCCAAGGAAGCAAAGTTGGGTGTAGAACAGGAGTTGAGAGCATGGAGGTCTGAGAACGAGCAACGACGAAAAGCTGGTGGTGAATCGGGTCATGGAGCAGGAAACCCAGTTAAGAGCCCTAGGGTAAGCTTTGAGGAGAAGAAAGAATCTAAGATCTTTGTCCAGGTGCCAGATGTCGCTGATCATGTCCGTCAGAGGTCAAGCCCAAAGGCTAATATGCCTGTAAGTAACACTGAAAGTGATTCATCCTCTGAAGTTAAGGTGACGAAGAAAAAGAAGAAGTCATTCTTCCCCCGGATTTTGATGTTCTTGGGTAGAAAGAAAGCACAAGCAGCCAAGTCATCGTAATCTTCCATTAATACAAGTACATGTTGCTGCTGGTATTGTTTTCTGCCCATCTTTTTTTTTTTTTTTTTCTTTTTCATTTACTTTTTTTCTCTGCAGTTTCTTGCAGTGACTTGAAACTGAGTACATTCTGAAAGAGTTTCTCTGTTGTACATGTTGGGTAATTATTTTCTCTGTATGGTAAGTTGATTGGATTATATTTTTGATCAGGATGGGGGATTTGTGTGGATGGAGGGTTTGTGATCAGTTGGGAAAAGAGATATAATAAGGTTGTTCTGTAATGTATTGCTTGTGACACTGGAATGTCATTCTTGTTAGTTTTGAGTGAGATTCCTACAAGTTTGATATATAATGAAAGTATTTTGATTTCTCTGGATAATTTGTTTGTGGATTGTTGTTGCAAGTGAAATAATGATTCTCTCGTTTAAGACACACACACACACACACACACACACACACAAATTTATAATAATAATTTTGCCAAAGTGTACAAAGATGACACAAGGGACAATTGGCTCCACACCTCCCTTGTGTTGCTTTCTGTGCACTTTGTCTGTGTCTCTTGACCTTCCCACAGGAGGGTAAAAATAGTCTGCCTATTTGTTACAGCATAATGTTTAAAACATATCATCGCCAAGCCATATTTTATGCTCGACTAGATGTTCTTTTTCAAAGCATGACCTGTTTTTGGTGTGAATTTCCATTACTTTCAAATTTGAAGTTGATCTAGCATCACCAAACAATGAATTACATCATAATGGATGGCTATTTTAACTTAGTCATGAACAATAATCGATAAAATCTGTGCTTAAATTTACATTATAGAATGAGTGCACACACACAGACACACAAAAACATTCATCAACCAGATCCGGCAAGAGTTTGAATAATAGTTCTGTGCCATGGATTGGAGAGGTGATCCACAAGGTTGTCAATAGGGCCAACATGAGTGATGGATGCTTGCACAAAGATCCCAAGCATGGCTACCATTGCGAGCCGTCCTACAAAATATTGGGGCACAATTTAAACACACCATAGTACAAGTAGTGAGAAAGAAAAAAACATATGGGAAAGTGGAATCACACAAAACAAACCATTCTTGATCTCTTTGAGCTTCCATTCATGAGCATTCTTTATATCTTTAGCCAGGCCAAGAGGATTCAGCAAAGGGCCACCTGGGTATCTATTCAATCAGCCCAAAAAATGTTACCAACTTCAACTTCTAAAAATCAGTAAGTTCTCTTGACAAACGCCAAAATAAAATTCTTGGTTATAAGTCATTTGTATGAATCAAAATGTATTCTGAGAGAGAATCTGGGGTAACGGGCCATAACCTAAGCATTCTCCCGGATGAAGATTGTAATGATCCTGGTGGACCCAACTTGTGGTATGAAGATTGGGCAATTCTCGCATTCTATTAGATTTGGGTTATTGGCATATTAGTCAAGTTCGTAACAAAACTACAATTTTATGCACTCTTGTTTTGGTCTTCGAAAGTTACCCTGGTTCTAAACCTTCCAGTGTGGCTTCCAACCCAAAGAAAGATCCATCTTTTGCTTGAGATCCGGGACTAATTAAGTCCATGTACCTTTTGGTTTCAACAAATCTGCAACAAATTAAAGAGATGAAAAAGGGGAAACAAGAAAGGGAAATCAGATCATTTTATAGGCAAGCCAACAAATCAGTGACATTAGTGGTTATAAAGCCAGTGATGGTTCCCTACCCCATCAAAATTAATTGGACAATGAACAGAGTTCTTGTGCTGGCAAACTGAAATCTTGTGGCACCAGCTTCATACCACACTGGCAAATTGCTGATTCCTGTTACGCGGAGCAACTGCAATAACAAACTAAAAGATCACCAAAATTGTATACCAACGAAGAGAGAGAGAGAGAGAGCAGACTAGCTTCAAATCCTATTTAGAGGAAGAGCATGGTACCTTTGCTCTCTCCAGCATTTATTGCTTTGTTATTTTCCATACTAAAAATTAAAAGCATATAAAGCAAATTGTATACAAGAAAGCCACTGAAGAAAAAAGAATGACAGCCTAAATGCTAAATAAGAATAAATATGCAGTACACTAAATAGATAGATACATGTATATTTTTGGCAGTCCCTCACATCAGTAACAAGAATTCCAGCAACTCCAGCCATAGCAAAGCGCGCATGAACCAACTCAGCCTGCACATACCACTTCAAGTTTTCAGGGTCCTCACCGAGCCCAAGTGGGTCGAACCCAAAATCTCCTGCTAGACTGTAAAGATCAACCAAACAAATGAAGAATTATCATTAACTAACTAGTTGAAGCTGAAGATATAAATCCATTGACAGAAATTCAGGGGGACTCGCCTTCCATCAAGGTAGGCCGGAGGGTCGAGGCCAGGAAGCCAAGTGGGCCGTTGCTGGGCTTGAACCACCACACCCCGAGAGTAATGTCTGGTATATCCTTTTCTAGAAGGCAGATATGGAATGGAGGATTTGCTAATGTCCTTGCCAAGGAATGCTGAAGAAGAAGAGCATGGCAGAATTTGCAAGCCTCTTCCAACTGCAAAGGCCATATTTTCTCTATCTGCAAGCCCACCAAAATTGGGGGCATATACACCACAAGGTCCACAACATCCAAGTAACCAATTAGCTAGCATGACAAAAATGATAGCATGGTCCCACTGGTCCCAATTCTTCTGAGCCACTCACTATTGTACATAAGTATAGATTGGATTGGAGGCAACTAGATTCAAAATAATTTGTTTTAAAATGAGCCATTACTACACGGCTTAAGTTGGTTCCATCACCATATGCTACGCTGCAAAAACAAGAAAACCCAATTTCCAAAAATGCAGAAACAGATATCACTTCTATTTCTCAATGATGCCTGAGGACCATTTAAAAAACTCTCTTGCCCTAGAAATCACAAGAAACAGGAAGAGTAGAAATCATAGCGACGCATAAAACTTATTTCATGCAACAACATATCCACTTTAACTTCAACATCTTTCCTCAAAACAACCAACATCTAATTCTTTTAACGTATTACAACAACAATAAAATTATTAGGGCTCAATCAAATCACTTGCAACATGGTCTCTAAACTTACTAATTAAAACAAGAGTACAATTAGGAAAGTCAATTCTGGAAAGGCTTCCAAATATGCTCCAACCAAACAACAAACTGCAATACACTAAAGAAGGGCCTACAGAAAGCATCTGATACAACTTATTGATAGAACTTGACGCGTGCACAAGTAAACAAAAGGGCTTTGTTTAAGCATGTCATCGCCTGCTAGATATACTGAACGAGCTAACTTTCATGGGGGTTGCAACCACTAGAGGAGCTTCAGGTGACTCGCTGACTGCAAATTTCTCGTGCATGAAGCGACTATCGACTATGGAGTCATCTTTCAGAACTATCTTGTAGCAGTAACAGCTCTTCAAGCCCACCTGATTTCGATAGCACTCATGAGAACCATCCTTCACCTGTTGGAAGTTCCATATTACACTGAACTTGCCAACTGTAGCAACCAGATGGCGCTCCTGCTTCCCGTTCTCGGTCACCTAATAAATTTTGCGGCAATGTCAGAATCAATCCAAAGGAGTGCTATAAAAAACCAACAAAAGGCACTGATTCTAATGGTACTATAAAGATTTGTTTGACATGTCACAACAAAAAAGATCATGAAAAGAAAACAAACAAGTAATTTTTCAACAAATAACATATTTGAAGGGATGCCACCAAATAGCTATGGTGTAAAAGAAATGACGTGCAAAGGCATTCTATTTGCAAAAGAACTACAATATTGAGACAACATACTTTGCAACTCTCTTCACGTTTGTTAAAAGAAAATGATGGTCTTTCTACTACCTTTAAAAACTGCCTTTTTGTTGTGAATCTTCTAATATAAACAATTCTAGGTTCCACGTTTTAGCATAACTGTCCAATATAACAAGTAACAACCAACTATGAAGCAGGTACACCTGTCCGGAGGTCACATATTGGTGTCCGACACATGTCGGACAGAGATATGGATACTCACTGAACATGCTCCGGTCATGTGTCAGACACACCCTGTGTCAGACACACCAGAGGAATGAAACACGTTAGGGACATGCTGGGGAGGAAATCATGCACCCTTTAGAGACAATGAAACTGGTTCTAACGATATTCCTTAAAACTCATTGTGCAGTCTCATTACAGAAAGTCATCCACAGATGAACCGTCAGTTTTGAACTCACAATGTTTGCCTATCACATGCAAATCGCATTTTAATCAGAATTTTAATTTTAGCATTGACAACAAACAAAAATGAAACAACAACTAGTTCACAATCAAGAATACAACAAATCATTGAAAATACACAATCTCTTAGCATTGATTTAACAGCATCATGCAGAACTAGAAACAATAGCATGGCAGTGGCACTGACCAAACCGAAACTGAAAAAGACACTTTTGACATATATCCGTAGCAAAGTAGCAGGAAATAACAAGCACAAGAATTAACAAATCCCAAGCTGTAGGTTAACAGGAAAAAGTGAAAACATAAAAAACAAGCAGCAGAACACAAGAAAGGAAAAAATGTGCTCATACCCATGAGAATTGAGCACCCCGGAACTTATTGTTTACCCCAGCCATATGAGAATCAAGGGGAGTCAGCTTCAACAATCTGGGAGCCGATATCCTATTCCCCATACGACCACCAAAACCTGTTTTCGTCTTCCCATCCTTGTCAGTAAATATAGTGCAGACAAGGATTAAATAGGTATCTGTTGTGCCCAATATCCACTTCCCATCAAAAGTAACATCAACATGAGTGATAGGCGAACCAAGGCCTGGAAAAGCAGTTTTCGCCTGCCTCATAGAATTGTTCGAATACAATCGGATCTTCCCATCAAGAGAACCAACAACGATCGAGCCATCGCCAGTAGTTGCAAAGCACTGAAAATTTGTTCCTCTAGAGAACTGATGACCTTGGGTCCAATTCAAGACAGGGGCACTAGCAGTAGCAAGATTTTGAACCATCCCATTCCTATCCCTCATATCCCACCTACAAAGCCTGTTATCATCCAATCCCAAAAATGTTGATCCTGATGGATCCATTTGGGCTCCCTTACTATCATTTGTAATATCCCTCATTGTAATATCAGTTCCATCTTTCTCAAACTTCCACTCAGTAACAATCTTACCAGTTTCAATGTCAAGCTGATGTAGCCCTGTTGTACATGGCTTCCCATCAATCTTGGGACTCATTAAGAGCATGTTAGTTTCAGCCCTCATAAGAAGAGCCTTCTTTGAACCTGAATGCAACGTACTCGATTGCCCTCCATAACCCCCACCACCCTCAAAATTCACATAAACACCTTTCCCATGAATTCCATGACTAAAATTTTTAACAACCTGAATACCTGAATTGCTCACCAAGAAGCTATTGTCCAATGCTCCTAATGCCAAGCTCTGTATTGCCACGCCATGCTCAGCCACCTCTTCGAACTCCTCCCTCAAATCATGACTGGGTCTCACTGGCGTCGCTGAACCAGGGCTTTTCAAAAAACTATCTTCCGCATCTTCCCACACAGAATCGTCCGCAGCTTCAGGATTAGCCCACCCAATAAAATCTTTCCCATAAACTTTAACCTTATTCGCATCATTCGATTCAAACCCATAAGTGTTCTCAAACAAACAATCCTGAAACTTGGTGACAAACCCTTTGTAATCTTCCTCACTGAAAAATTTCATTGCCCAAACACCCTGAGACACAAAATCAACCCTACGTTGGTCTCCAAAACTCTTCAATTGCAAGTCAGTACCAACCTTGGCTTTAACCTTCGACCCAACCTTCAAAACCCACCACGAATCTCCACTTTCTTCATCATCCTCGTCGTCCTCGGCCTCAGAGGAGTCGATTTGGGAGGTTTTGACGAAGTAAAAGGATGCGATTTTGTCGGAGACGATCCATTTGGATTTGGGTGTGTTCCCACCGACGTGAAGGTAGAGCTTGACGGCGTTCTTGAGGTTTGGGTTGTTTGAAGGGTACTTCAGCTTGAGGGCTTTGAGCTTGGCCTCGACCTCGTCCATAGACGACGGCGTTTTGGGTCTTCTACGCCCTGAAGATCTCTGTTCTTCTTCAACATCTTCGTAGGTCTCATCTTCTTCTTCTTGAGTTTGTTCCTCTTCGTCTTGTTCATCTTCGGAGTCTGAGCTCTCTAACTCTTCGCGACTGTGAGAACCACCCATTTGTTGTTGTTGATTTTGAGGTTGATAGATGCAGAGATTGTATGCAAATGGGAGAGAAATTAGGGTTTCTGGCTCTGATGGTTCGGGTGAACCTTGAAGAGCGCCAACTTTTTAGTTTGAAATTTTGATCGTTGGGGGGTTTCGAACTAGGGCTTTCGATGGAGACAGAACGCCTATAACCGGTTACCGGCTGACCGCGTCAACTAGGTGCTCACGGATCGGTTTTTAACCGTTGGATTTATGATTTGGATCTGCTCGTTTGTTTGTGACTTAGGAAAAATTAAACCTGCAACCGACCGTAGAATGAGTTGTGAACTATGCGGATAGGGTTTGCAGATATACAAATAGTTACAGACAGTTTGTGAATTGAACTTTTTTTATTTCTAAAAATCCAAAAATACGGACTTGGTTAATCAGCAAGTGGTAACATCTATTCTTGGGGTGGGGTCTTTGGCGCCGTATGGGAAGTATTTGGGATTACCATATTGTGTGGGGCATTCAAAGCGCGCTGTTTTGGGGTTTGTCAAGGAGCGCGTATGGTCTCGTCTAAATGGTTGGAAGGAAAAATTTTTATCGGTGGCGGGTAGAGAGGTCCTCATTAAGTCTGTTGCTCAAGCCATACCCACTTATATTATGTCCTGCTTTCGCCTCCCAGATGGAGTGTGTCATGAAATCGAATCTATGGTGTGCAATTTCTGGTGGGGACAAAAAGAGGAAACCCGTAAAATTCATTGGACTAGCTGGAAACAATTGTGTAAATCTAAATTACGGGGAGGTATGGGATTCCGGTGCCTTCAATATTTCAATTCAGCTTTATTGGCCAAACAGGGTTGGCGATTACTGCAACGGCCTCAATCTTTGGTTGCGCGGGTTTTTAAGGCTAGGTACTTTCCACAAACTTCATTTCTTAATGCTGTGGTTGGGAGCAATCCATCATTCACCTGGAGGAGCATAGTCGGATCTCGAAGCCTATTAAATGCTGGGCTTCGCTGGCGTGTTGGAAATGGTGCAAGCATCTCGGTTAAGAATGATAAATGGGTTCCACGGCCTCATTCCTTTAAGGTAATTCTGCCACCTTCGACTCTTTCGGATGATGCGCGGGTTTGTGATTTAATTGATTCTGCAAAAGGAGCATGGCATGATGAGATGCTTACGCAAAATTTTTTGGGTATGGATGTGGAGGCTATCCGATGCATTCCTCTTTGCCCCACGTTACCTTCGGACAAAGTGGTCTGGCATTTTACCCGAAATGGTGAGTTTTCGGTTAGATCGGCATATCATTTGTGTAAGGATATGGCATCTATGGATGGCCACGGCGATACCTCCAACTTTGGGCAGTCGCAGAGGCATTTCTGGCGAGATCTTTGGCAGCTTAATTTACCAACCAAACTTAAGATTTTTGGCTGGAAAATGTGCCTCGGGTTGTTAGCGGTAAGGGCCAATCTGCGACAACGCCGTATTGTCAATATGGACTTATGTCCTGGGTGTGGAGTGGAGATTGAAACGGTTTGCCATTGTTTTCACAACTGTGAATTTGCCATGCAAGTATGGAGATCGAGCTCACTTAATTTGATTATCAAATCTAATCCTGTTAACAATTGGTTTGAGTGGGTCTGCCAACTCATGGACACAAATGGCCCCGAACCCATGCAATTATTTATTACTATTTGTTGGTGCATTTGGAATAATAGAAACTCCATTCTGTTTGGCAATAAATCAAAGACTGTGGAGGAAGTTGTTTCTTTCGCGGTGAATTATGTTTCTGAATATGTTCAAGCACAAGAGCGTGGCCATATTCCTTCGACCCAGGTTCGGATGCGAAGGTGGGTTGCGCCACGGGAGGGTGTCTTCAAACTGAATTTTGACGGCTCTGTTAGGACGGCCCATGCCAGTGCTGGTGTTGGCATTATTATTCGGGACTGTCATGGCAATATGGACTTATGTCCTGGGTGTGGAGTGGAGATTGAAACGGTTTGCCATTGTTTTCACAACTGTGAATTTGCCATGCAAGTGTGGAGATCGAGCTCACTTACTTTGATTATCAAATCTAATCCTGTTAACAATTGGTTTGAGTGGGTCTGCCAACTCATGGCCACAAATGGCCCCGAACCCATGCAATTATTTATTACTATTTGTTGGTGCATTTGGAATAATAGAAACTCCATTCTGTTTGGCAATAAATCAAGGACTGTGGAGGAAGTTGTTTCTTTCGCGGTGAATTATGTTTCTGAATATGTTCAAGTACAAGAGCGTGGCCATCTTCCTCCGACCCAGGTTCGGATGCGAAGGTGGGTTGCGCCACGGGAGGGTGTTTTCAAACTGAATTTTGACGGCTCTGTTAGGACGGCCCATGCCAGTGCTGGTGTTGGCATTATTATTCGGGACTGTCATGGGGAAGTCATTGCGTCTATGGTTGAGCGGATCCAGTATATGGAGGATGTTGATTGTGTGGAAGCTATGGGTGCAATAAAAGCTCTTCAATTGGGTTGTGATCTGGGATTGGGACATATTCATCTGGAAGGTGATTCTCAAAATGTGGTGGCTGCTATTCAAGGAAAGGCGGATAACTTATCTTGCTATGGTCATTTCGTAGATGTGGCTCAAGCGCTCCTATTGAGGTTCCTTTCTTCAGAAGTTTCGCATGTCTGTCGAGATGGCAATTCGGTAGCCCATTGTTTAAGTAGGCTAGCCTTTGATTTTGAGTCGCCACGCATTTGGATGGAGGAGGTTCCGTCCTCTTTAATGGCGTTGGTGATGTCTGAGGCGCCGGTTACCGGCTGACCGCGTCAACTAGGTGCTCACGGATCGGTTTTTAACCGTTGATTTATGATTTGGATCTGCTCGTTTGTTCGTGGCTTAGGAAAAATTAAACCTCCAACCGACCGTAGTATGGCTTGTGAACTGTGTGGATAGGGTTCGCAGATATACAAATAATTACAGATAATTTGTGAATTGAACTTTTTTTTTATTTAAAACTTTAATTTTAGACTTATTTTTTTCCATTTTTTAAATATTTATTTCAGACATCCTCATTTTTTAATTATTATTTTATGCTATAAAATTACATATTTCTTATCATAAAATCATTGGCCTTGTTTCGTTTAATTCTCAATACATAATTTTTGAAAAAAATTTTCAAAATTTTGTATGGTAGGAAATTTTTTTCCAAAATTACTTTCTCTTCTTACATATCAATCAATCACTTTTTCTCTCTCCTTTTTCCTTTTCAATAATTTTTTCTCTTACACACATCTATTCAACTACAAAAAAAATCAAATCATCCTAAACTTTTATACTCCAAAATTATTTCCAAAATATACAACCAAACAAATTAATTTTTTTTTAACTCTTTTCCCAAAGTTTTTTTTGAAAATTTATCTCTCAAAACCAAACCAAACACACCAATTATTTTTTGATCATTTTTTATTCATAATATTTTAATCTTGGGTGAATTACACTAATAGTCTCTATAGTTTGGGATTTGTGTCACTTTGGTCCCTGACTTTTCAATTATGGCATATTTGATCCTGAATTTTGAATCTTATTCCAAATAAGGACAATTAAAGATATCATTAGATTCTTCAAGGGTAAAATCATCAATTTGATAAAATATAAACTAATTTGACAAAAATAAATGTCAAACAAATATTTTTGAATTTTTAAAAATTATTTCTACCCACTAAAAATAAAATTATGTAAAATTGATAAAACTTTTAAACATTTATTTATTTTTTTTACCAAATTAATTTTTATTATGTGTTTGAATAATGATCATGTAAAATTAATTTAAAAAAATTAATCATGTAATTTTTATTAATTTTACATAATTTTATCATTCGTGGATAAAAATAATTTTTAAAAAGTTAAAATATTTTTTTGACATTTATTTTTGTCAAATTAGTTTATATTTTATTAAATTGACAATTTTGCCCTTAAAATTAAACAATGGTATCTTCAATTGTTCTTATTTGGAACAAGATTCAAAATTTAGGATCAAATATGTCACAATTGAAAAGTCAGGGACTAAAGTGACACGAGTCCCAAACTATAGGGACTATTTGTGTAATTTGTCCTTTAATCTTAGAGATTTAGAAAGTGATAATCCATACTTTAAAAAAAAAAAAAAATTTCCATTTACGTATATAAATAAAAGAAGTTCAATTTACTAAAAATATATATCATATATTATGTATGTGTGTATGGCGGTGTTTGGCAAGATTTTGGTTTAGGATTTTTTTTTTTTTTTTTTTTTTTCACTAAAAAAAAAATTATTTAAAAAAAAAAAAAAAAAACAAATTCAAACAAAATATCACATCAAACCTCATAATTATTTTACTTTTTTTCTCACAAACATCACATCTAACCACAAAAAAACCTAACTATCTTTCCAAACACAAAAGACAATTTTGCTCTTAAAATTAAACAATGGTATCTTCAATTGTCTTTATTTGGAACAAGATTCAAAATTTAGGATCAAATATGTCACAATTGAAAAGTCAGGGACCAAAGTGACACAAGTCCCAAACTATAGGGACTATTTGTGTAATTTGTCCTTTAATCTTAGAGATTCAGAAAGTGATAATCCATACTTTAAAAATAAAAAAAAATTCCATTTACGTATATAAATAAAAGAAGTTCAATTTACTAAAAATATATATCATATATTATGTATGTGTGTATGGCGGTGTTTGGCAAGATTTTGGTTTAGGTTTTTTTTTTTTTTTTTTTTTTTTTTTTTTTTTTTTCTTTTCACTAAAAGACAAAGTTTTTGCAAAACCATAAAACAATAAATCCAAACAAAATATCGCATCCAATTCCATAATCATTTTATTTTTTCTCTCACAAACATTATATCCAATCACAAAAAAATCCAACTATCTTCGCAAACATCAAAAAAAATTTCTCTAATATTATCCTACAACTAAAAAAATCTACATAAAAACCTACTTTCGAAGCACCCACTATATGTATACACATCAATGTGAGTAATATTAGCAATCAATTTTCTGTTTCTGCAAAAAAATTATATGAACGAAATATTGATAATCTTAGTGAAAATCAAATTCTTCAAAAGCTAAATCACATGTCTATGGTCGCTAATAGTTATCTTAGTAATTATCCTAGCTGCACTCAACGTGAAAATCGTCTCTTTACT